TGGCTCCTTCCAATGCCATTTACTAGCATAAACAAAAACCATGACGTACACTTCACAACCCCAGTCAAAATAACCATGACGTTCATTACAATACCCTAATGGCTCGTTACATCAATTCACTAGTCAGTAAAAAGAACATCATAATCAGACTAATGTCAATCACAACAAAAAGAACGGGTTCATCTTCATTTGGGGGTCGGAATGAAACATATGGGCTCCTCTTCATTTGGGTTTTGGGTCGATGACATTCCATCACCTCTTGATGAAACCATTTTACCTGTAATCCAACAGAAACCATTATTTATAATAAATAGGAAACCTAGTTAATTAGCTAAAAAATGAATTTGATGTTTACTCACATGTTTATCAACTGCTATGTTGCTATTTGAAGCAACTGGTTCTAATTCAGCATCGTACTATTTCTGTCCAAAGAAATGATAAAATAAAGTATGAGGTGCCAAACACTAGCCAAAGAAATATACTTACATGAACTGGGGCACCATCGCTTGAGTGATAACTTTTATTGTGCCCCGTTAATCCACATATCGACCACGTCATACACACTTGCCCTTTCTTCACGATGTATGACTTTTCCTAGCTTTGTAATACCATTTCTTCCGCTTGTTTCCTTCTTTTTTTATGTTTTTTCCCCGTTGAGGCGTAGTCCATTTAGGCTGAATAATTCTAGGGGCATCAACATCAGGCCACAACATTGTGTCGTTGATTGGGTTCATGATATTATCATAACAACTCATGTACGTCTCGATCATGTAACAATTGTTAACATAATCCCCTGATTCATTTCTACAATCCAGTATCACAGCAACGCCATGCATACAAGGTATACCGGTAAGCTCCCATTTTCGGCATACGCATGTACGTTCTTCGAGATCAACTACAAATGTTCCATAACTGCAATCCACCTACCATCTGGGCCCCCCAGACAAATGCAACGTGCATTCTCTTGACATCTCAGCGATCTTATGTAGTTTTTTTTTTCTAATCCTTGGACATAAACGAACTTCGCATCGTATCATTTTTCCCGACTCTATTGTATTCGTTTCATGAACATCATCTGCACTGATGTTAACATATTTGAATCAATTTCTCTTTATCGCCCAACAACATTTTGTTATATACTTCACATATGTTATTAAGCAGAATGTTGACCTTGGAGTGCACTGGAAAGTATGATCGACTCCACTCTCGAGGGTGTCTCTTCATCAACCATCCATATCCATCTTCACTCACTTCAAGAATTTTTTGCATCCAATGTTTGAATTCAGCAATAGTTGCTGACTGGCAGCACACCAAAGAAAATCTTTTAGTATTTTGCTCTTATATCCAGCGCTGAAGAAGTTTGTGTACATATGTCTTACACAGAAACGATGTTCTGCCTCTAGGAATAACTCATCGCATACATTTTGAAAACCCTATTCTCTGTCAGTCATCAATGTCCAACCCTTCCCATTGCCAATTTCAATGTCCTCTTGGAGGTACTTCATGAACCATCTCCAGGAGTCTGTGTTCTCCTTCTCGACAACAGCATATACCACGTGGTATATATAGTCATTAGCATCTTGTCCCACTGCTGTTAACATAACTCTCCAAAACAACCCCACAAATGGCACAAATCAACACTTACTACTTTCCTGCATCCAATTTTGAAACCGGCCTTGCAGGGACTGAAGCATATATAGATACCTTTGAAAACATGCTCATGTAGGGCTATCATCATAGTCGATCCTGGATTTGTCCGAAGCACCTCCGCAGCATATCTCGTCACAAGTTCAAACTGTTCTTCCATTGTTCCAAATAACAATTCCTTAGCATATTGCCTTATCTTGTTGCCAATATTTCTACTTATCTACGTCTTCAAATCATCCTTCACCGTAGCCAAAATGGACTTTGTTTTCTAATCAGGGTCTGCCTTGAACTGCTCAATGTATCTATTTGTCAAGAAGATATAGTTGCAATGGTTGTTGTTTTGGATCTATGTGCATGTGTGCTTCGACGTGTATGACTTCACCTGCACTATCTCCGTCGTACTCAACTTCGAGCCCCATATCATCCAGTTACACCCCTATTTGCAAACTCCTTGAGCTCTCTTTCTATTATTATACTTTAACCTCATGTTATAACCATTGAGAGCACCATAGGTTCTCACTGTAATCCGAAACTCTTCCATTAACTGAAAGAGTTGTCCAACCTCAAACTGTGGATTCCTCATATCTGTCTCTGCCAAAAATTCTAGAAAGCGATAACCAACCTCTTCATCCGATGAACAAGCCAATAGTAACTCTTCGGACGATGGATACTCCAAGTCATTGTCTCCCACATCCCCTAAACTCATCTCTATTTCATTCCTCACTTCATTCATGTTCGGTCCAATTCAATGTCATCTATCACATTGCGATCGTACAATAAATCATCTTCCTCAGAAGCAATGTCAACCTTGGAATGAACGAAATCGGAGTCTTCCTCATAATCTGTCATCAAATTAATAAAAAATAAATTTCAATAACTACAGTGTATGAATTACTATAATTGGAGCTTATGTAAAATAACACATACTGAAGCTCTAAAATCACACTAGCTGAGCTTAAAATGAATCACCTATAATTAATATCAGTTTTTAGAAAGCAGCATCCAATACCTTTTTGTAATGCATATAAATCAAATGAAAGGCGGGCTTTACCTCAGTGATCTCCCTCCATGTTTGCAAATTGAAACCTCAATTAGATGTGCTGCTATGTGACCGTCCAGGTGAGGTCTTTTGTGGGTGAGCCGACTGATTTTCGGACATTATTCGTTAGGAAGATTGTGTTTTACACTATAGGATGATAAGGAATGATGGGTGTTAGGAGATTACGAGCTGAATTTTACTTCATTTCCGGTGGGGTGATTTGGGTTTGGAAATGATTTAGGGCTCGTTTAATTGAAGGCGTTGGAGAAACATAATGTGCTTCAGGTTATGTTTTTGACTTTGGCAGAGAGGCAATTTGGAGTTTTCGAAATGGAGGGTTCGCGATTCTACTGGATTTGGATGGGGTTTGAATTGGGGATTTGGGTGGAGGTTTCGATTTAGGGATTTCGAATTGGGCTCCCAAAATTGAAGTGCTGGGAAGGTGAGGAGTGAGTAATTTCCATATTAGGTTCCGAAGTGGCAATAAATTCACGACATTTGTTGCCAATTAGGATTTCGTCGAGCCACATCAGCTGCTGTTCAAATGGGATTCTGGTCAGTGATGGAAGGAGGGAACGTTGGACAAGTTCAGTGACCGATCAGCAGCATATTGAAGTTCAGTGACCACAACGCGACGATGTTCAAAGTTCAGTGACTAATGAAACTTTTTACTCTAAAATTTACTGCATTACAATCGTCAAAATCTGTGGGCCAATAAAAAAAAGAATGATGCTACTTTTTACTCTAAACTTTTTACGCGACAATGTTCAAAATTCAGTGATTAATGAAACTTTTTACTCTAAAATTTACCGCCTTGACAATCGTCAAAATCTGTGGGCCAATAAAAAAAATGATGCTACTTGTACACAAAGAATTATATAATGATTTACATACAAATAATGTATTAAAAAGAGAGTGGAGAGGAGTTTTTTAATTGAAAAAAATTTGATCAAATCATATCTCATCACATCATGTGTATGTAAATCATTATATAGATGTAGCACAACTAATAAAACCTTTTGAATAACTGTCAAGAAGATCTCATGAAAATTGAACATTAGGTTAACTATACTACTAAAATTTTCGAACAAAAAAAAAATTAGAATGACATATGAGTAAATATTGGAAAAGTTTCATACTTCAGAAAACAACCGCAAATAGTAACAAAAATATTATGGATTTCGCTACTTGTACATTAAAAAAATCTATATAATGAATTACATAATATGATGTGATTGAAAAATATTGAATGAAAAAATTGCTTATATTTTAAATTGACAAATGATATAGTGTTTGTGACATTATGTAATCCATTATGTAGACTTTAATATACTTGTAGCAAGATTCAAATATTATTCCCTTTATCGACCTATAATAGTTGGATAAAACTATTTTTCCAGAAGAATTTGACAAAAAAGTTTTACATAATTGCATGTGACAGTCTATTATTATTGAATATAAAAGCGGATTTTGTTTTAAACAGTCCAATAATAAAATGTCACATGATATTATGTCAAACTTTATATCAATCTTGATATTCATGCGTCATGATTCATAATAATTAGCATATTAGTGCATGCTTTGCATGCTTTGTCGACGTATAATAATATCTAGCACATCTCCAAGTGATAAAAGGGGAAGGTGGAAAAACTCTAGCTTTGCTTGAGGTTGCTGCGTCAAGGGTTCGAATATTGAAATATGGATTTGGCCCTTGGGTAAGTGCCAGTGTATAAGCAGCTTTCCACCCTGTACCCTTGGGGGCATAACCTGTGCTTTACCTCCTTCACCACGGTCTAGGGCCGGG